TTGGATGGACCTAGTTCTCAATGTCAATAGATTTCTCAGTCTGTATCCTATATCCTATATCCTATATCCTGGGTTGGAAATATGACTTACTGAGATTTTTTCTTGGATTTCCCCATCATGATTTAATCTGGTGCGCTTTCTAGGTCTGTTTGCAGGAGGTTATTTTGTTTTGTTTTGCACAAAATTTGAGTGTGGGGGGGAGTGTTCAATGTACTGTTTTCAGATATTCCCCCTATTTTGGTTCCACCCTATGACTTAATTCTCTTCAATCTATCTTCCAACTGACCTGCTCATTCAACCAAAACTGTTCTCTTCAAAGTTATTAATGATCTCTTAATTGCCAAATCTAATGGCCTTTTCTCAATCTTCATTCCTCTTGACCTCTCTGCAACCTTTCACACTATTGATTACTTTTTTCTTTTCTCTAGGTTTTGTGTGTGTGTGTGTGTGTGTGTGTGTGTGTGTGACAAAAATCTTTCCTGGTTTTCCTCCTCTGACCTCTCCTCAGTGTCTTTTTCTGGATCTTCATCCAGGTCATACCTGCACACTGTAGGTGTCCCACAGAATTCTGTCTTGGGTCCTCTTCTCTCTATATACTCTTTCATCATATCTATGCTAATGATCCTCAAATTTACTTACTGAGATCTAAGCTCTCTGCTTACCCCAGTCTCTCATCTCTAACTGCCTATTGTCAATCTCAAATGTCCTGTAGACAACTTAAACTCAATATATCTAAAACTAATCTCATTATCTTTCCCCCAAATCTTCTCCATTTCATAACTTTCCTATTACTGTTGAGGATATCACCATTCTCCTAGAGATCTAGACTCACTGTCTAAGTGTCATCCTCAACTCCCCACTCGTGTAAAACATTTCCATGTAAGTCATGTTGTGAAAGAAAACACACACACACACAACTCCAAGAAAAATAAAAAAATTGAAGAAAAGGTATCTTTGATCTGCATTCAGGCTCTACCAGTTCTTTTTCTGGAGATAGATAGCACCTTTCATCATATATCCTACAGAATTGTCTTGGATCATTGTATTGCTAAGAATAGCTAAATTATTCATGGTAGATCATTATACAATATTGCTGTTACTGTTTACAGTGTTCTCCTGGTTATTCTAATTTCACTTTGCATTAATTCATGTAAGTCTTTCCAGGTTTTCCTGAGAGCACCCTGTTCATCATTTCTTAAAGCACATTAGTAATCCATCACAATCATATGCAACAACTTGTTCAGCTATTCCCCAATTGATGGACATTCCCTCAATTTCCAATTCTTTTCTACCACTAAAAGAGCTGCTATAAATATTTTTGTATACTTAGGTCCTTTACCTTTTAGTTTTATCCTTTTGGGATACAGACCTAGTAGTGGTATTGTTAGGTGAAAGGATATGCATAGGTGCCCTTTGGGCATAGTTCCAAATTGCTCTCCAGAATGATTGAATCAGTATACAACTTCACCAATAGTACACGTGTTTCAATTTTCCCACAAGCACTCCAACATTTGTCATTTTCTTTTTCTGTCATATTAGTGCATCTGACATGTGTGACCTTTTTTTGGAGAGATTTAGGGGAGAGATCAAGTGAGTTCCTGACTTTACTGTGCCATCTTGGCTCTACCTCCCTCACAATCTTGCCAATTTTTTTAAAAATTCTACCTTTGTGACATCTCTTAACTGCCACCACTCTGGTGCAGGCCTTTATTTACCCCATATCTAGATCATTATAATAGCCTCATGGTTGGTCTCCCTATCACAAGTCTCCTTCCACCCCAGTCCATCCTTCACTTATATCAGTCATATCATGAGTCTGAAAATTAGTATTAGTGAGTTCATGTTCATAAAACAATTTGAGATCATTGGTGAAAGGTGTGTTAAACTGATCTTCGTAAAGTGTAGATCTGGCTACATCACCCCCATACTCAATAAACTCCAGTAGTTCTCTGTCACTTGTAGGATGAAATATAAAATCCTCTGTTTAGCATTCAAAGCCCTTCAGAACTTCTCCCATCTATTTCCCATTTTCTTATATCTTTCACTCCCCTCCACAAACGCTCTGTGATCCAATGATATTGGAATTCCTTGCTGTTCCTCAAACAAGGTAAGCCTTCTCCTGACTAGGAATTTTCATTTGCTGTCTCACATAGCCTAGAATGCTCTCTTTCCTCATCTCCACATCTTAATTTCCCTGGCTTCCTTCAAATCCCAGATAAAATCCCACCTTCTACATGAAGTGTTTCCAGATCCTGCTTAAATCTAGTGACTTCCCTCTGCTAATTATTTCTAATTTTTGTTTATATATCTTGTCTATACATTGTTGTTTGCATGTTGTCTGCAACATGCATTAGTCTGTGATCTACTTGAGAGCAGAGAATAATTTTTGTCTTTCTTTGTATCTGTAGCACTTAGCATAGTAGGTGCTTATAGGTGTTATTGATTGGCTGACTAAATCAATTGTTTAGAACTGTAATGAGAAACTGCTCAGTTGATTGAATTTTTCAGCTGCTATTTTGACCAAAATCTCTTTTAGTTACTCTCTTATTATAGACCAGTCATTCTCCACAGTGACAGAAATCTTGTAGTAAAAGCCTCTAAAATTATTGTTTTAATACCTTTCAACAAACAATATCTGATTCATTTTGAAGTGTCTCAAGGTTTCTTGCAACACAGTTTGAGGAACAAAATAGGAAGGCATGTATCAATTATATCACAAGAGTCTGAAAATTAGTATTAATGAGTTCATGTTCTTGAAACAATTTGAGATCATTGGGTGAAAGGTGCTACATATTTTATTACTGAAATAAGACACTGTTTACAGATTGCACTGCCATTCTGCTATTTATCTGAGATTTTCAAGAAGGAACAAAGTGGTGGTTTTTTTTAAACAGTTTTCAATAAGAAAGCTTTATGACCAGAAAAATTTCAAAATGCCAAAGTTCAGTGAAATTATGCTTAGAATGAATATTTTAACATCAGAAAACTTCAAATATAAGAAATTTGTTCATTACCTGTATGCTTTGGCCAGATCCTAATTTTATAGATAACAGAGCATAGTTTTATAGATAAGCAATATGATTGGATGCATCTATTCAGACTATAATCAGAGATAAATTAAGTTCTATACATTTTGTATTGATAGTATCACAATTTATTGCTCAAATTACTTTTTTAGATTCTCTGTGAACTTGTTGTATATCAAATTAATCAAACATTGCAATCCTTACTCAAATAAAAAGTCACTAAATGAACATGTCAGAAGAATCTTATGAAAATCTTATTTAAAAGTATTCCTATGAACTATAGATTGAGCTTCTTCACTTTTATTCAGATTTGCTTCACTATAAATCTTTGTTAATTCAACAAATTTGTTTTCTCAGCAGCGTGGGCATTGTGTCTCAAGGAAGCATATAGCACTATTTCTATATCTCTACATCCTGTGTTTTGGTGAGCTTTTCCTAGGTTTCTTGATGCTGATTAGTTACCAACAAAACATCTGGATTTTCCATTGATTTTCCTCCTTTACTACGTGATGATCTCCATATTTTTCAGTCATGCATTTCTATGAAAATATCCCTTATAATAATAGTAATAATAATAATAATAATAACTGACATTTACATAGCACTTGAAAGTTTACACAGTGCTTCACAATTGTTATCATATTTTATCCTCACAAAAATTCTGAGAAGTAGGTACTGTTATTATTCCCATTTTATAGATGAGGAAAATGAGGCAGACAGGTTAAGAGCTGCCTATGGTCACATAGTAAATATCTGAAACTGGACTTGAATTCATCTTTCTGACTCCAGATTCAGTGCTCACCCACTGTGCCACTAAGTTCTTCATTGGTAAGATACTGTAGTCTATTTTGCCAATTATATAATTTGAGTGAACCATAAATTTAATTTTTCAGAAACTGTTGTATTCTATTACTTGAAACCAGAATATTGTCAGAAGAATACTGATATTAAAAATATAAACCTTTGTTCAAGAAATAAGCTTGGCATTGTTAAAAACACTATATGATTTCCCAAAGGCAATTCAACTATTTTCTTCCTTTTCAGTTATGGGTGAAATTAATTATTCATTTGCACTGCTTGTCCAAGATGTATGTCCTGAAAGATTAGGTCCATGGGATTTCCATCCAACCACAACTCATAGTGTCAAAAATACATATTCTTCACCTGCTTTGTTTTCCTAAGGCAAGCTCATGAGTGTTTATGAATCTCATTTCAGAGGGTCAGCAGTGATCTGAGCTTGCTGAACTCAGCATAATACCATCTACAAGCATAAGCTTCTAAGAGACCTTCCAATCTATGAATCCCTCTTTCTTTTGGAATCTATATGAGATATCTTCCATAACAGTAATGAATACTATTGGGGAATATGTCCTATGCTATTGTAAGTCCAGATGTTAATAATCAAAGGATTGTAGAACAAAGTTCTCTTCATTATTATAATTTTCAAAGAATCTTTTATGATTATGATACACATTGGAGAGAACTTTAAGGCAAAGTTGTACTCAGGTGAATGAAGTGAAAACCAAAAGAATTCAATTAAAAAAGGAATTGCAGTTAATATGTATCTGGGCATTATTTTCTTACAGATTATAGCACATTAAGTAGATAAGTGGTAAAAAGTAAATGACCCTAAGAAACTAATGATTTTAAGTATCTCTCTTAAAGTGCAGCCAAATAGCAATACATAAATACATACATACACATAATTTTCTCTTCCCCAAAACCAAGAAACAAGATTTTAAATTATGACTACATGATTTTTGTCTATTTTTTTGTCCTTTGAACCAAATAAATACCTCATATAATTGTCTTGCTAATTATCTTTATACAGTCCTATTTCCTTTCAATATTTATTCCATTAATATCTAACAAAACTCTTGAAGGAGTGAAATTCTTAGAATTATGCTTGACCAAGTTCATTCCAAGTTCATTGTTAGAAAACTTTATTTTTTAAAGATTTTAAATAAAGTATAGTAAGTGCACCCAGGAGGGAAGTGGAGAAAAATATTTCATGGAGAAAAATATTTTATTTGACCAGATATAAAGAAAGAATCAATTTTTTCTACCTAATGACTTTTTTGATGTCATTGCCAAATATTTATAATTAGTAGCCTCATAGAAGATAGAATGACTTAATTCAACAAGCATTTATTAAGTACCTACTATGTGCAAGACACTGTATCAGGGGCTGGAGCCACCAAGACAGAAGTGATACAGTTTCTACCTTTTAAGAGCTTACATTCTATAAATTCCTACCCTTTCATAATCTGGAGAATCAGCTTGTAAAGTTAGATTTTTAGATTCCAATGTAATCAGACATTATTCTGTTGCAACAAAATTGTCCTAAGTTCCCTCTCTCTCTGCTCTTCTTCTCTGTATTTCATTTCAAGTTTTTGTTTTTCTGGGTCTATACAATAAAATGTACAGTCTGAACTTCTTCGGATTTCTTCAAACTGACTAAAATCAGCCACATACTTTCCATTTTTTGAGAGAGATACCACAGGTACAAATTCAAATCCCCAATAGATCTCCTCTGGAATATAAGATGTTCGGCTCTGGCAGACAGCACTAGTGGACTCCACGGTGGCATTGAGGAGAACCACTAATTCAAACTCCTTTTCTTTCAGGTTTTGTGATGTCAGATCTCTCAGGGGGCTTGTCTCATCCAGCACATGATAAAATGTCATGGGTAGAATGAGGAAGGGACTTTCAGAAGAAGAATCCACATGAAACTTGACAGTTGCTTGGTTGAGTAGTATCATTTCCCCTTCTTTGGTAAGGTGAGTCTTGAGGAGCTTGCCAGAAAGCTGGCATTGGATCAAAAGACTTTTCCTCATGTTGGCCACTTGAATCACCAGGCATAACTTCCCATTATGCTTGGTAATGACAGCACAATGGCTAAACTTAATGGTCTCAGCCCGTTTTTTAGGTCTTGCAATTTTGGCCAGGAAAGTGCCAGTGATAAAGATCTCAACCAAGGTTGTTATAACCAGTTGAGTAACCAGCAAGAAAATGGCATGAGGACACTCTTCAGTGATGAAACGGGCACCATATCCAATGGTTGTCTGAGACTCAAGAGAAAAGAGAAATGCCCCAGTTAAGGAGTTGACTTTCATAATGCAGGCTGTTTGATTTGGGGAATGCTCACTCTGTTCCAGATCCCCATGAATAAATGCAATCACATAATAGATGACTCCAAATAGGAACCAGGTCACCACAAAAGTGGCAGCAAATAGGGAGAGTTTGTACCTCCACTTCATGTCTATAACTGTTGTCCATAAGTCTTGAAGGTAAAGTAAGTAGATGCCATCAACTTTGTCAATCCTCACATTGCTGTGTCCATTTTTTGACATGACCCGAGGTCTCTTTGTCTTCAGTTCAGAATTAGTTGAGTGATTCACAAGAGGTGTGCTTGACATATTGATGCGAATGCCTTCCATTTTCAATAGCTTGCTATCTCCTAAGAAAATACAATAATTCAGTCACTTAAAATCATATATTAATAAAATGTATGTCTAAAAATGTACCAATCAGTAGGAAGTAGGTATTGTCACATGTAGTATTTCATGAAAAGTAATTATAGAAGACATATAATATATAGGATGTTAAAGCAAGTTAAATATATTTAAGGAAACATACTATCATGCAGTGTTCTCTGGTATATACTTATACTTAGAAATGTGCTGTAACAACATTCACGATGATGCTTAATTTCTCTGAAGAGAAAAGGAAAAACAGACTAAAACCAAAATTAAGCTTCCTCTTTATGCTCTTAAGAGTGTTATATACAAGAGAATTATGTGGTATGTGAAAAGGATGCATCAATGTTATGTAAGTTAAAAGCAAACTACTTAAACCTAGTATAATTGATTTCTACCCAAGTCTGGAAAATTTTCCACAAGACTCTCCAAATAGGTAGAGAGAAGGCTGACCCAAAGCTGCATGATTACATGGAGGGAGGAGTTGACACTTTGGAGATTAGAGACATTCTTCTTTTTCTTCTTTGAGAGAAGTCATGGATGGTTCCAGACTTTCTCCTGGACTAACTCCAGACACATGAAGAAAAAGAGAAAGACATGGGAAATCAGCGATGTACTGAGGAATTAGCTTCCTCTACTTGTCTGTAGTTTACAAAGTCTTTGTTGGCTAGAAACCTAGGTTATACCAGCATTTTCTGAGAAACATTAATTTTTTTTCACTTATTTAAGCATAAGCTAGAATTCATGACCAATCTTACATCCCCATGAAAATATGACAATAAAAAAAATAAAACTGGTGGCAATAAGTTCTCTATTTTGAAGTCATCAATGTCACTTATTCCAGGAGAAATACAGTCAACATAACATTTTAGGCATAAAACCTTCTCCACATAAAGAAGCTACATTTGGCATAGTCTCTCTTTAGCCATATGAAAATAATAAATATCTCTTTTCAAATAGTCACTGAAAATTGAGAGAGATCTTGAAATTCCAGCAGACATGACCTACATATTCTAGCAAAAGAACTGAGAAAGTAGCATATGGCATTATATGGGTTTTTATATGTATCTGTTTGGTGAATTTTGTAAATTGGTAATTTTGTAAGTTGACTCTGTATTCTCTTAAGACACAGCTGGGAGATTAAAGGGTGTATTTCAAGGCTTAACAAAATTCCACTTTGTAATGAAGAATTTCCATCTAATGGCTCTATGATTTATATTAAACTTCTTGGTTTTATGGTCATCCACTTTCAATAGAATTTTTGAAAGTATTTGTCAATAATTTTTTAAAAGCCTTCTAGATAAACCCTTAAAAAAAATCAAACACCTCTTCAGGATAGTGCAAATTTGTCAAATGTTTCAATTTTCCCATTAAGTTAACAAAGCTTTTTTTTCTAAGTAACACTCAAAATGAACATTTTTTCTCAGAAAGGAAGTAGAGACATTTTTATTACATTAAGGATTTTATGGTTTTTTTCAGAATTTGTTTCATTCATTTAGCATATTTTGGGATCAGTTTCAAAGAAAATATAGAATATCATTGATATTCTTTTCTTTGGAAAAGACAGTATTTTATTTTTTTCCAATTACATGTAAAGATAGTTTTCAATATTCATTTTTTATAAAATTTTGAGCTCCAAATTTTTTCTCCTGCCCTCCCTCTCATCCTCACTGCCCAAGGTGGCAAGTATTCTGATGTAGGCTATATATATGCGATCAAATAAACATATTTCCACATCAGTCATGTTGTGAAAGAAGAAATAGAACAAAAATGAAAAGCCACAAATAAAAAAGTGAAAATAGTATGCTTTGATTTGCATTCAGACTCCATGGTTCTTTCTCCAGATACGGATAGTACTTTCTATCATGAGTCTTTGGGAATTGTATTGGATCATTGTACAACTGAGAAGAGGTAAATCATAATTGATCATCACAAAATAAAATGCTCAGAGTGAGCATTCCCCAAATCAATAGTCATTATGTACAATGTTCTCCTGGTTCTGCTCAATTCACTCGGCATCAGTTCATGTAAGTCCAGGTTTTTCTGAAGGCATTTTGCTCATCATTTCTTAAAGCCCAGTAGTATTCCACCACAACCATACACCACAACTTGTTTAGCCATTCCCCAATTGATGGGCATCTCCTCAATTTCTACTTCTTTGCCACCACATAAAGAGCTGCTATAAATATTTTTGAACATGGAGGTCATTTTCCTTTTTTTTTATATCATTGATATTCTTAATACAAGTTGTGACCATGGGAGTCAATATATCCACAGCACAGCATTTCTCAGCAACCAAAGTGGAAAAAATGCCACAAAGCCTGAAAGTCTAGAAAATAAAAGCCATGTAGACATGAAACTAATAATGTTTAGACAAACTCAGAATGATAGAACTCTCAGAGAAAAATTCAGTTGGGGTAACATTAACTACAAATAGTTTTATGAAAGGGAAATATAAAGGACATATGAAGAAAGATACTATCTGTAGCCAGAGAAAGAACTGATAAATAGAAGTATGTATAGAATAATTTTAAACACACACATACAAATATATATATATATATATATATATACATATATATATACCTATTTGTACTATTTGTGTCTAATGGCAACCCTCTCTAGGGTGGGGGGGGAGGTAGGGAAGAAAAAAAAGAGGAAAAAAATGAAATTTGCATAATAATTTTGTTGTATAATTGAAAGTAATAGCAAGTTGTACACAGTAGATTTTGCAATTTCATGTACAATCATCTTTTTTATTGTACTATGTTAGGAAAATGCTTATTTTATTCTATAAATTAAATATTTTAAAAAGAAAGGGAAATTGCTTAGAAAAGGTGAAATTAATACAAATAATCTATTTAATATTAATTTAAATATTAAATATAAAATTTAATCAAACTATATAAATGTTGAAACTTTAGTTTTAATGTGTGACCCACATTCATATAGCCTGTGAGCATAAATGGAGCTTTTGGAGGCTCATGATTTTCCACCAGATTCTGTAACTCTCTAGCCTTGTTTATATAAATTAAGCATTGGAATTCTTTTTCTAAGATATTTTTTCAAATGGGCAATAGGATAGAAATAAGAAAATATTTGTTTTTTCCTTGGTTTTACCAAAGGCTATTGTGATCCATTAACCTCATTATTCTTAAATTCTCCATATCTGGAAAATAGAATAAAGGATAGTAGTTCCTAAATACTTTACGGCCATTGTGCATGTTAATGAACTATTTTAGTGAGCTTTGATCATCTTGGGTAAATTGCAAAATATCTGAATTTATTATTTAATCTAAGTATTTAATAATTCTTTTCCTTTTCATAGATTCAAGGGTCATATGTATCTCAAACTATATATATATATATATTTATATATATATACATATATATATATATCTCATAGTCAAATATCTTTGGACTCAGGGGACTTCTACAAAGTTACGTGCTGTGGTGATCACAATTTAAAGAGGATTTAAATTTAAAGTTATCATTGGCATACAAAATCAATGTTAATCTTTACACTTTTTTTCTGTGCCTTCTGCATTTCTGTGGGGAGGAGGAAATAAAATTGGTTTTTTGTTGATCCCTGTTTTTTTCCTGCTTCATTTACCAACCAATGTCCAAATTCCCTTAGCATGATTGCCTACCTGGTCTTCCCACTTATTTGCACCTAAATACAGCCATTTATCAGATCACTCCCTCCCATTCAAAGATAAGGAATCTCCTTATCTGCTTTCATCCAATCTGGCCACCATTTGACCACCATATAGTTACTTTTTTATTGAATAGGCTCATTAATGGAATTAACCTAATAAATAGAAAGTGTGAAACTGTTCTTGACTTTAGAAACTTCCTTATCATGGATTTTTCACTACTCTGGAAAACTAGGCTACATACCTTGCCTAGTTTTGAGATAAGAGTTTTCTTTCTCCTTTGAGCTAGGTGCCACAGTGGATAGAGTTGTGCCTAGAGTTAGGAAGATATGAATTTAAATCCCGTCTCAGATATTTACTAGCTTTAATTTGTGTTTGCTTTGGCTTCCTCAGCTATAAAAATAGCTTCTACCTCTCAGGGTTGTTGAGTCTAATTTGAGTCCCAGGTAGGCATAAATAGATATTTGTGGAATCACAACCACTCATCTTCAAAGGAGGCTTTAGTTCCTACCTAGAAAAGAATAGAAGAAGGGGCCACTAGGTTGACTGCTCTGTGCTTTTCATAGACTAGAATTCTATTTGACTTACAACTATTACTAACCTAAGGGAAATTATTTTGGGGCTCAAACTCTTCCTGGTCATTATCTCTTAAAGAGAAAGGGGAACATCTTATAGCCAAAGGATTGATTCCTTCCCACCAAGATAGTTATAAAAGTATATCATAGTTCAAGTGAGAGAGTCCTTGATCTCACAAGAGAAATACCCCAATGTCTCCAAGGAAACAAGCTGGAAATCAGGAATATATTGGGGTCCTCTACATGTCTGCTACTTCCCAATCTTTTTTTCCCTTTCTCTGTCTTGTGTTCTTCCCACAAAATGTCTGGTATCAAGGTTTTTGAAACAGAAAGGAAGAAGAAAGTGACTTCTCACAAGCTCTCTCAATAACTCCACCTCTCCTGAAGGCATCCAGAGTACTCAATCACTCCTCCAGTAAGAAAAGCCTTTATACAAATGCACCAGGTTTGAAACTCAGATTACAGAAATAATGTGAAAGAAGTCTCAAAAAGGAGACAAAAAAAGGCAAGAAAAAAGTTAAGGACTTGAATAGATTTTGAGAAGACTTAGATATGATAGATCTCTGGCAATTACTGAATGGAAATAGAAAGAACTTTATGTCAAGATTGATATGATACAGCTATACCATGAGTATAACCATATAATGGTTATTGGATATGTGTCTCACATTTAGAGTGCAGATAGCCAAGTCAAAGGTCACATTTCCAACATTATCAGGTGATAAGTCTCTCCATATCTGGCTAGGCTGAACCTTGGGAAAAAAAAAGATTTGTTTTTGTTACTTGGGGCATACTTGAAACCTTTGCAGCGTGACAGAACCTCTAAGAGTTTACACTAAGAACCAAGAGTCACTTCCATTCTGTATGACTTTGTAATCAGCAAAATCACAAGGAAAAAAAAAAAAGATAGAACATATACCACAATTCATCCTTTAAAAAAAAAGTTTGGGGCAGCTAGGTGGTGCAGTAGATAGAGCACCAGCCCTGGAGTCAGGAGGACCTGAGTTCAAATCCAGCCTCAGACACTTGACACTTACTAACTGTGTGACCCTGGGCAAGTCACTTAACTCCATTACCTAGCCGCCACCCCCCCACCAAAAAGTTTACATTTTCTTGTGTGGGCTTTTTTTCTTCTTCTTGGTATATAGAAATGTTTATGTTTGTTGATAATTGTCAAGTTCACAATAAATGGAAATTCAATTAAAAATATAGGGCATACAGTTGAAACAACACAATTTAAACAAGTAACTGGTAATGAAAAGTGAATAACGAACAAAATAACTCACATGGACATCAGTTATAACAATTTTGTAATTTAATCATTAATATCAATTAATTGTCACAACAAGAAGAGCAAAAGAACTCAGAATACATGTTAGTCAGGAACGATCTGTCTTATTTGATAATCATGGAGAGATGGCGTCCAAAGCAATCTCAGTTAGGCATATAAACTCATGTATAAAATTGTATGAAGTAGGATGATAGCTGTTTGAATATGGCCTTATAAAGCAGACAGAAGCTGTGGAGGGTAAAACTAATTTAAAGAAAGCTTGACAAAAGATCCAACTTGTCATCCTCATGGCATTTAACGATAAAAATGGAAAAAACATAATGAACAGAACATAAAAAGAAAGGAAATATCTACCAAGATTTTTATACCACATTGTTTGCACAGTCAAAGTCAGTGAAGTCACTTAGCATTGGACTCTAGCATCACAGTCCCAGGTATGCTAATAGGGGACATAGAAATGGCACTAAAAAGAAATAAATGAGAAATACAGGCAGCTAGATTGGGCCAAGTAAATACAGAAGCTATTTGTGTTGGAGATGCCACAACTGTGAAGGCATTTAGGGATCAATCCACAAAGGATAGTGGAGGGTGGGTCAAGATACTAAATGTGTTTTTCAAAAATGGCCATTATGAGACCATCATACTGTCCATATAAATGCTAATTGTTATTGTTGTTGTTGTTATTGTTGTTGTTGTTATTGTTGTTGTTATTGTTATTATTAGTTTGCTGTCCCTAGGCCTCCAATCTAATGATGACTTCATTCCCAGAGCCTTCTACTGCACCTCATGCTGAATTCAAGGAAAGTGAAAAATAAGAACAATGCAAGTGTATGTTGGTAAATATTTAACAACTGGGCTTTCCAGGGGAAAAAAAAGTTACATTCACATTTAAGTTCAATTGGCATTATTAACTCTTTCCCAAGTCTATACAATCAACAAAACAATAAATCAAGCTCTGATGCTATTGTCAAATTCTGAGATGTAAATTCTCACACTGATAATTTAACAACTGTTTTTGTAAGAAGGTTAGAGCTGAAACCAGCACACCTTTATAACTTTTCTGTTCTATTCTTCTATTTAAGACTTTTATGAGACCTACAAATTAAATGTTTCCTTAATGAAAGTATTAGAAGGGAACAAGCAAGGTCTTGCAAATGATAATCTACGATAGACCATATTTTTACCATTTTATAACTGAAGGATGTAGAGAAAACAACATCCTTCTGTGCTTATTGTCTGTTGATTATGAAAAATCATTTGATTCAGTGGAGCAAAACTCCAACGCTAGAAGACTTTCTTCAATAAGGTGCCTGAAATTCACATGGAACATTGTCTAGTGTATACACAAAGTCTCTCTACTAGTAACTCCCCACATGTAGAGCCTGAGGAATATGCTTCCATGTTAGTCATGATAACATGTAATGGAAGTGCCTTGGATAGATAACAGAATGCGTGTTCATATTTTATAACTGTTTCTAATTGGCTGACTGTGTGGTGAAGACGAGGCTCTTTGACCGACTGAGAAGGCATTCAGAAAGGCCTGAATCGGCCTTGGCCTCTTGGATTACTATGCTGTTGGTCTAACTCCATCACTCATGGCATCTGATAAGAGAGGGGAGAGATTTTGGGCTTTCTTTCCCTCCAAGGCCATGTGGCCCCTTAAATACAGGCTATGCTTATTTTTTTGCCTTTGTATTTGTTCTTTTCCAAGTATAGGGAGAGAGGATCTAAGTGTCTACGTTTTACAGTCAGATAAGCATTGATGAGCCAAAAAGAAAGAAATAACCCTTGAGAGTTGCCTTCAGGACCCAGCCCATTAGTGGCTAAGATAAAGATTCAGGTATTGGGGGAAAATATTTGTACTTTTGTTCTTGTTGTAACTTCAAAATAAGTATTTTTCACCATTTAGCACAGTGTCTAGCACATAGTAGGTGCCTAATACATGTTTATTGATTCATTGATATCCCTTGATATTAGTTAAATGGAACTAGGTAGCTAGTCACTGTCATTTAACAGTGAGGGAGGGGAAGGAGGAACAGCCCATGGGGTTAAAACCAATATCAGTAGAGAAGAGAGACAACTCTTAAGCCTCCAGGGTACCCTAGGGCCCTGAGGAGGCTATAAAGCAGGCCTTGCTCTGGGAGAGTAAGACCAGAGAAAACTTAATACATATGCATCAAAATCATTCAATAGTTATTGAAAGAAATAACCCTGAAGCAACAGAAACAATCCTGTTTAGCAGCCTTACGTTACAAAATCTCAAATAAAGCATAAAATAGAGATTGTATACTTGTCATAGTTGTCCATCATTGTGATGGACTCCAACGCAGTTCATATTTAAGAGGAGTTCTTTGTGGATGGTGAGTTCCTACAAATACCCCTGTTAAAGATAATATTGTGCCAACTGAATCAAAGTTTGGAACATTGCCAAAACCAGGGTTGGGGAATCTGTGGCCTCAAGGCCACATGTGACCCTCTAGGTCCTCAAGTGTGGCCGTTTGACTGAATCCAAACTTCACAGAACAAATCCTCTTAATAAAAGGATTTGTTCTGTAAAACTTGGACTCAGTCAAAAGGCTTCAAACAAGGACCTACAAGGCCACATGTGGCCTAGAGGTTGTAGGTTTCCCATCCCTGGCCAACCCCCTTGAAAGATCTGTAATCCCTCAAAAGTTTGTTTTGATAAAGGCCAAGTAGATGAAAGAAGTCTATTGCTCAGATTATGTCATGCATTGGGATGGTCCTGCTATTGAATTTGTCCAGCAGTAGTGTGTGTATAACATACATATATATGTATGTGTACCTGGGATTGAAAATACAGATGGAAAAAGAGTTAAATTCAGAATTAAACTGAAAGGGTATAGTAGGCTGCATTGCCTTCTAAAAATTACAAAGCTACTTTAATAATAAAAAGGTTTTTTCCCCTAGAATCAATGGCCTATATTTTTAAAAGCAACTTTAAATCAGTGTTTCTATATGATTTGAGACATGGAATATAACAATCTCTGAAGAACTGAAAATGAATATAACACGGAGGGCATTAGAGAGAAACGTTCTGAGTGAGCAGGCTGAAACATATTACCAGTGAAGAAACCTGAACAAGGACAAGTATAAAAAATGTCATTGGGAGGCAGCTAGGCGGAACAGTGGATAGAGCACCAGCCCTGAAGTCTGGAGGACCCGAGTTCAAATCTGGTCTCAGAGTAAACACTCGACACTTACTAGCTGTGTGATCCTGGGCAAGTTACTTAACCCCAATTGCCTAAAAAAAAAAAAATTTTATTGGGAAAATGTGATGGGAAGAAAAGAAGGGTTGATCATTTGGGAAAAAAAAAGGGATTACAAATGAACAACCTTAATGCTCCAATGATGCCTTAATGATGTGTCAAGACAAAGCAAGAAAAGAATCTAGCATGTTGGATTTACCACCTGAGATGAACTTATAATTGCAGAGTTATTCTGAGGTTCCTTGCTTAGGATATTGGTAAATATAAAGCAATATCCACTGTAATGGATATGGATAAGAGTCACACAGGATATGCAAGCATGGATGCATTATGATCTGCATTGTGGGAAAGAACATCTAAATTGTTAAGGTTATGTATCTATTTGTTGCTGGTTTTATTTTATAAGTACCTTTTATATGTTTATTATTATTTTAATATTTTATTTTTCACCAATTATATGTTAAAACAATTTTTAACACTTTTTTTGTTTTGAATTCCAAATTCTATTCTTCCCTGTCTCCCCTCCCCCCTACCTGAGACAGTAAGGAATGCAATACAGGTTATACGTGTGCAATCATGTAAAACATTTCCATATTAGTCATTTTGGAGAAGAAGACTTGAATGAAAAAACGATGAAAGAATTTATGTGGTGCCTACTCTGTGCCAGCCACGAATATTATCTCATTTGATCCTCACAACAACCCTGGGAGGTAGTTGCCATCATTATCCCCATTTTACAGCAGAGGAAAGAGGCAAAAGTTAAATAATTTGCCCAAGGGCATGCAGCTATTAAGTATCTGAGCCCAGATTTTAGTTCAGGTTTTTCCTGACTCTAGGACTAACATTCCATCCACTGCATCACCTAGCTGAATTATTATGGTCCATTCCTTTATAGTAATTTGGGTAAAGAAACTTTTTTTAAATTTACATGCTAATAGTTCAAGTAATACAATGTTTTTTTTTTTTACCTCTGAAGTAAAATACTAATCCTGTAGTAAACAAAAAACAAAATAGACTTGCACATAAATATATGGAAAAGGCGAATGTGAAAAAAACAACTTTACGCCAGCAAGTATTTTTGACAAAGAAAAAGGAGTCCTCCCTGTTTAAAGTGTGATAGTTACATGAAACAAACCACTCCAATGTATGAATCATGCCCATAACTAATCTAAATACACTCTCCTAAGCACATAAGTTTTCATACCTTGTTAGTTTAATGGTAGCAGGGACAGGT